GAACCGTGGGGGCCTTGCACTTTCTACACCTCCCTCCTCCTGCAGGCCTGGAAGCTGCAGGCAATACATAATCCTAGCAGTCCTGCGCCCAGTCTCCAGGGGGCAGTCAGGCCTCTCAGTGAGGCCTGCAGTGTGTGGCTACAGTCAATGGGCAGGGCCTGAGGGGCTGGTGACCGTCTGGGTGGACCGTCGACCCCAGGCCTTCTGCTTGGTGGGTGCTGCTCCTGGGCGCCATGGCAGGAAAGGTGGGCTCCCGAGACACTCCGTGGAAGCTGGGGCGCTCTGAAAGGTCAGGGTGCGGTGAGGTGGCCGGCGAGAGAGCCCCAGCTGTCCACGCCCTTGTCCTGGCTGGGGTCTGCTTCTGTGACCAAATGTCTCGTGGCGGTGCAGACTGCTCACGTACTGGCTCATCTGGGGCTCTGGCGGCCCTCAGAAAACAGCCTGCGCCTCCAGGGACGTGCGGGGTCTGCGCTCCTGCTGCCTGTGACCTCCGGATGGCGAGACAGGCCGCGGGGGCAGTAGAGAGCGCGCTGGCACCACTGGCAAACTTGCGGATGCGGAGCTCGCAGCTCTGCAGCGCCCTGGCGCCTTGCTGTTGAGCCCCGCGTCCTCCCTGGGGCTCAGCCTGCCTGTCCAGCCTCGTCTCTGGGCTCGCCTTGACCGTCCTGCTGGGAGTGGCCAGGCTCTGGGGCTCGTGCTGATGGAAAATTGCAGCTGTCTTGTTGAGCTGCCTCCGCCCGACCAAGACGGAGGGGCGGGAAGCAGGGATGGAGACTGGCGGTGGAGCAGGGAAGGGAGGCCCGGAGGCTGTTTCCTGGGAACGGCCCTCGCCCTTCCTTTGCTGTTCAGTTTACCTCTCCTCGAAGCTCTCGTCCCGGTCTTCACGCCCAGCGCCGCTCCAGTGGCTTCTGACCGGCTCGTTCGCGCGCTAGCGGAGCTGGACGACTGGCTCTGCACGCGTCACCTCCGCGCCGCCACTTTGCAGGGAGGACGCGGCCATCCGGGAGGGGCCGGGCTCAGCCCTGTGCGGCGGCGATGTGTGGGTCCCTTGCCCAGGGTGTCGGTGCGCCCGCGCGGGCCTGAGGCTCACCGCAGCGAGCGTGCCCCGCGTGGCACTGTGACACGGCACGCGGTGCGCACCTGGACCCGGACGAAGGATGGGGCGCGCTCTGTCCTCCCGAAAAGACCCAGCACCTCCGCAGACCGAGGCGCAGCAGCCCGCGGTGACCAGGTCCGGTGCATGTGGCTTCTTCTCCGAGACGCGCTGTTTCCCGCTGCTCTGCGGCCAGTGCTTCCTTGCCGAGTACGCGTGGTCGTCACTGCCACTCCCAAAGCTGCCCTGGCTTCCAGGAGACCACGGTCCTAGAGACTGTCAAGGCCCCACCCTAGCTCCGCGTGCACCCGAGTTCCTGTTGCTCTTCTTTCCCCCAAACTCCTGGCCCTGCCACTGCCCCTGCCCCTGCAGGCTGAGGCCAGATGGGAGCGGCCTCCCTCCCCGCGGCCCCGCCGGTCCTGCCTGTCTGGGCTCCTGCTCTGGGGGGCGTCTGGCTGCCTCTTCCTCCTGCGCCTGGGAGCTGTGGGCTTTGCTGAGTCTTTTCTGCGCTCCACCCTGAAAGTAAGTTTAAGCTCCTTTCTTTGTGGTGGGCACGGCCGGCTGCCAACCCGAATTCCCTCCGTAGCTTCCTTCTCATTTTCCATAGTAGCTGGCTACGGCTGCTTAACAGTTATTCCCAATCAGAACGGCACCGATCACTGCTGATCTCGCTGCTTCTGAGGAACACGGTGCTAAGGTCTGAGTGTGTTTCTGCCCCTCCACAGTTCCTCTGTGGAACTCCGCACCCTCACTCTTATCCTTCAGGAGGAGAGGGCTTCGGGCGGTGACTGGCTTGTGTGGTGGGGCCCTCACCATGGGGGTTGGTGCCCTCAGCGGCACCTCGGCAGTCCCACTGCGTCAGCGTCAGGTCACCTGTGCCCAGGCACCACACTCACGACAGGCGCCGACAGCAGGCAAGTGGGGAGGGAAGGGCCTGCACACATTCCCACTTCTGCGGCCTTCTCGGAAAGCCCAAAACTGCTCCAAAAATTCTGCCCACTGTTTTTTAAAATACTGCCAAAAACAGAGAAAGGAAAACAAGGAGGAAAAGAACCAAAACTTCAGTGTCTTGAAAATCAGAGGGAAAGAAAAGAGGGAGGGGAGAAGGGAGACTGGTTTACGGGACCGGAAGCTCCCTCAGGGCTCAGAAGCTCCCATGTCCAGCCGTGTTTGTGTGGCTCTGGGAAACCCACCGGCCACTCCACTGGCCGCTCCTGGACGTCTGGCTTTATCGTCCCGTCTGTGCGATGCACACTTGAGACATCAGTGTTTGCCCAGCATTTGGTAAGCTCGTTACTAGCGACTTTGGAGAATCTGAAACTTGATGTCCAGTAATACTGAACTGTGCTGCAGAAGTTGCCGGCTTCCATTCCTCACAATCCACACCAACACTGTTTCCTCTTGGGTTTTAAAATAAGCAGTGTATCGCGGCTGTTCTAGTGGCCGTGATGGCCTCATTTTTAAACAAAGCGTGAATGGACCCTGGGCTCCGAGCCCCATCGGTCGGCAGCTTCCACGTCTGACTGCAGAGGAAATTCGGGGAACACGGTCGGCTGTGGGCCCCGCTTCCTCCGGGAGCCCAGGGACGAGACCCTCGGGGCAGGACTGCCGTGGACTTCCTCCCCGGGAGGACGACGGCCTCGGGCAGGGTCTGGGCCAGGTCGTGGGAAAGCCTGGTGTTTGGAGAGGGGTGGGGGCCGACACTGACCCTGGTGAGGGGCCGGCCTCCGGGCAGCTGGAGAGGCCAGGAGGAAGCTCGGTGGGTGGGCCGAGCTCCCACGGTGGAGCCCGGGACCAGGTGGCTTTCCCAGGGCTCAGGAGCCTGTCCCGACCACAGGCCACAGCCAGGGCTCCGACTTTGAGGTTTAACAACTGTTCCGTTCTCACCGAATTGCCTTGTACCAGTGCCTCTCACTGAAGACCTTTCACACTGATTCTCCACTGACGGGGAACGACAGGTTTTATTTAAAAATGAGTGTAGTAAGTCCATTAAGGAAAACATGGACGAACAACTACTCCAAAGGGCGTGGCAGAGGAGGGGCGATGGGCAGGGCGGCGTGACAGTCCGGCTGACGCTGGGGTCTCTGAGCCGTCACCTGCTTTCCTCGCGAGGCCACGACCTCGAGGGACACGACGTGCACGTGAGTGTTCTGTGGGCTGCACAGCGGCCCGTGGGTGCACTTGGCCGTCCTTTTCATGAAGATGCAGCCGAGTGACTCAGGAAGGGGCTGGAGGCGGAGGCCGGGTGTGAGGGTGGACAGTGAGCGGGAGCTGGGCTTCGGCAGCAGGCTTGACTGGTCTGGAGGCCAAGGAAGGGTCCTGACTGTTTTCAAGAACTGGGGTGTCGGAGTGTTCATGGGTGGAGGAGCGGGACGGGTCACTTTAGACGGTGACCGTCATGCAGTGGGGCCCGCAGGGGCACTGACCTGGGTCAGCATGACTTTCTCAGAGGCCGCCCTGGCCCGGCTGCTCCCCAGGTTGGACGGGCAGAGCCCGGCAGGGGTGACACCGCTGCTTCCTTCCGGCTGGGCCGCAGGTGAGAGGTGGCCGGTGACTCCAAGCAGAGCGGCTGGAAGGTGGAACTGGGAGGCTGGGAGCCACCTCGGACGGGCAGGCGTGGCTTCCTTGTGCTTGGTGGAGTGGCACTGGGTGCACAGCAGTGGACAGAGACTTCTTGGGGGATGATCCCCATCGGGTGCCGCAGGGCCCCATAAGGGCTGCAGGGGAGCCGTGTACCAAGGCTTCATCCACACGGCTGAGGCCTCGCTTCTCGGTGCAGCCCGCAGACCGCCGGCCCCCAAACCTGGGCACTTGGAAAATGTTTACATCTTGGACCCACAGGACCAGAATCTCTGGGGTGCCTTTGAATCCATGTTTTATTATATTTATTCTTTAGAAGAAAAGCCTAATACTTATTTGATTATAATCTTAAATTCCCAACTTGTGGTTTTCTTCTTTACAGTTTCGAGCCCATGCTTTCAGGACACAGTGGCTGCGTTTGCTGTGGGGAGCCGGTGCGTGTGCACAGCGCGTCTTCATCCCTCTTACGTTCCCTTCCCCTCCGTCCCCTCCCGCTCCATCTCTAGTTCCCATTGGTAGAGGACCTCTCTCCCTATTTCTTATTATCTGCCTTTCATTTTGTTCTTATTTTTCTCCTAGAAGAGAAGCCGTACGATACTTCAGCTTGTGTGCCCGGTCTGCTTCACTGAACATCACGGTCTTGAGATGCATCCGTTTTCCAACAGAGACTCGAGCTCACCCTTCTTTGTGGCAGCGTAGTACCCCACCGTGCGTACACGCCCCCTTTCCTCAGCCATTCGTCTCTGGTGGACACGTGGGCCGCTTCCAGGATGCAGGTGATGCGCGCTGCTGCTGTCCATGAGTCTGCGTGGATCTCTGTGATGTGAGAGCCTGTAACTCCGTTGGGAAGGCGGCTAGAAGGGAAGAGCTGCATTGTACACGGTCCCTAGGTAACTCTTCCGTCCACCCAGTAGCCTGGACCTTGAGAATCGTGGGCGATCTTCAGAGACTCCGTCTTCCTCAGATTAGTTCTCTTTAGGAAGACAACGAAAAGGTGGAATGCTCAGCCTCACCCGCTTCTCTCTTCCCGGAAACTCTGCCGGGGAGGCCAAGGTTCCAATCCTGGAAATGCCTGGGCCTCCTTCCTCTTCCGTCTGGTGTTCTTTGTGAGCCCGCACAGGACGATGTGTAAATCCTCCTGTCGGGGGTGCGCACACATGTGCACGCACACACACGGGGGACTGTGAGTGAGCAAACGCTCCTAGGAGGCCTGGTAGATGCAATGTCGGAAAGGAAGACGCGGGTGGGATGACTTGTGCACGCGTCACCGGATCGCAGCCCTGGGAGGGCTGGACGAGTCAACCTGTGCTTCTTCTCAGACAAGTGCTCTTTCTCAATCCATCCTTGAAAGGGCCAGGGGAGCCTTTCCCTGGAGGATGTGGAAGGAGTGGGGTGCCGGTGGGAGGGGACGCAGGCTGGGTTTTAGAGGTGGCTTTGAGGCCAGTGGGGAGAGAGGGCTGGAGTATGCGGTTCACAGCCTGATGTGGGGCGACCTCTCTCCAGCCTCATTCTGTGTGGACATTTGTCTTCCTGAGCATTAAAACGACAAACCCAAACAGGGCAGACAGAAGGAAAGAAGGCAGAAGGAGGAGGGCGAGGAAACAGAGATCTTTCTGAGTAAAAGGGAGCTAGAAAGGCATACGGAGAATAAAACCAACGCCATTGCAGAAGACCAGGGGAAAGAGAAGGAGCAACGTGCTAATAAGAATGAACTTTAGGTACAGCGGTGGGATTTAAGGCAAAAGATAAAAGACTTGGAGCTGACGAGATGAAGTTCAAAGCTCGGAGTAGAAGAGGTAAAATACTGAGAGAAAAGGCTCACAGACAAAAGCTGAGATGTGAAGGTAGGTGGGGTTGGCAGTAAAGTGCAGATTCGGAACTGAGGCGACGCGGCTGGAAACTCGACACTCCACGGCTTCTGGAGTTCCTGGGTGGGGGTTTTAGGGCAATTCCGGGCTCGGGGGACCTCATGAGGCTGGAGCCCCAGCCGTGTGCTGCCCGGGGGTGGTGCCAGCTCCTTTCCCTCCTGCAGACCGCTTTCTTGCCAGGCCCCATTGCATTCGGTTGGGTTGCAGACCTAGAGGCCTCTCGTGTTGCCTGCTCTCACCTTTGGAGCCCTGGGCCCAGGAGATCCAGAGGGGAGCCGGGCTCAGCTGACTCTGGACCCTGTGCCTGGGGCCTCTGCCCTTGTACCCAGCCCTCGCCCTCTCTTGCCTGTGAACCTCGGTCATCATGGACCCGGCCTCTTAGCCTCACCACCGCGCCTCCTTCCCTCCGGGCTGGGTTCCCAGCTGCAGGATAACTGGGCACTTGCTTCCCAGCCTCTGCACGAAGCTGGGCTCAGGACCCTGAGCAGGAGACAGAGCCCTGATGACCACAAAGCGCCCTCTGTTTCCTCATCTTTTCCCGTAGCCTGGGTGGAGGCCCCAGGAGCCGCATCCACAGAGGAGCAGCAGGAGCTCATGATTCGTCTCTGAAGTCTTCTCTGGCTGCAGCCCAGTCGGGCTGCTTTTTGGCGCTGGGCTGCTTTGTCCCTAGGGCACAGTGCATGAGGCCTGAGGTTCTCAGGGTGGAGTCAGCTCTCAGAGATTCCTGCAGTAGTCTCCAGCCCCCACCGGCCCAGGGTGCGATGCAGGGTTGAAGAGAAACTCAAGACAGAGTTAAAGAGAAAGTGCGAACAGGGGAGGCCGGTGCTCCTTTGGCAAAAGGCCCTGGCCCATCTCTTCCACCGAATTTTATTATTCATCAATCAGGGTAAAGGTGCACTACATGTATAGATGTGCGGTATGTGAAATTAGCATAGAAACTAATGCAGGCGAGGCTTTAAAGCGAAGTCAGAGCATTTCAAATTAGAAGTGAGGTAGACAGAATATATGGTTGAGATCAGAGCGCTTTCCTTCAAGCTACGAAGGCACTCATGGAGGGATGGAGTGGGTGCGATTCCTCCGACCTCAGCTGTGATGTTGCTCGTGTCGGCCACAGCCTCACAGGCCAGCGCTCTGGCCTCGGCCTGGCCGTTAGCGAGGAGGACACGCTGACCTGCGCACTGCCACGGTGCTCAGGAGAAGCTGCTGTGAGCCACGTCGCTTCAGCCAGACTCGGTTCTTACAGTGGGCTGATCGAGAGGTTAGCTCTGCAGCCCGCGCTGCTCACAGCACGCGTTGGACATCACCAATCCTGTGGGCTCTGGCACGAGAGCAGGAGCTGGGTGGGCTGGGACCTCGAGCGTCTCACCCACGGAGGCCGACGGAGGGCAAAGAGCAGGAGGTGCAGGTGGGGTCACACTTGCCTTCATGCCGCCGCCTCTGGAGGCCGAGCTCCGGACCCCGTCACCTCAGCCGCAGGGTCCTGGAGCTGCTCATGATGCCCCAGCTTGGGGTGCGTTCACCTGCAGCCGCCTGCTCCCCGCCAGGCACACAGGAGCCACTCCCTGCCCGAGGGGCCACCCACCCATTTAGAAAGCGGAGAAGATGCTCAGGGCCCAGCCCATGCGACTGCGAGCCGGTTCTGTGGTTACTGCGGTTCTGTGCCTCCGCGCACAGTAGGTGCTCGTAAGTGTCTGTCACGCAGACCAGGGTGGCAGAGACCCAAGGCCCCGGGCCCAGCCCTGCTCTCTCCGATGGGCTCCTCTGGCCGTTTCCGAAGCGCTGGGTGGAGGCAGGTGTCATGGTTTAGGGTCCTTCTTGCCGCCTGATGAATAGGTGCTGTGTGCTAGAAAAGCCCCAGGGGAAACGCAGGCCTCAGTAAAGCTTTCTGGGAGTCTCCTTCTGAGGACGCGGATGCCGGGATTTTCAAGTGGTTGCGATTTCTGAGATTCATTTTACGGTTTGGGATGGAATGCATGGTTTAAGCAAACCCAATTAAACCCAAATTACCCATGGCCAGGCTGCCACTGGTGATCCTGCTGTGGGGAGACGGCTGCAAGGCAGAGCCATCTCTAAGACAGCGTGGACAGCTCCATCCTTCCCTCTCCCGTTTCTGTCAGTGTCCGCTTAAAACACACTGACTTCCTGAGGAATTTTCTCTTTCAGTTGTTTATTGTTCTGATTTGTTAGTGTCACGGACCATGAAATGTTATTTAAGAGGCACTGTTCTTTTGAGAAAGAGGCCCAAGATCTGCATTCTTTGCTTCTCTGTTCAGAAACCAAAGGAGGCAGGTCTGACTTTCTGGGGCGTCTCATGCCCCTTATTCCTGTGGCACAGTCTCAGGGCCGAGTGCAGAGTTCTGGTGGCCCCAGTGAGCTGGTTCACCCTGAGCTTGTTGGAGTAACCTCTGCAGACGAAGCACAGCACACTCTGTCCTTACCCTGTGCTGCAGCCCCACTCCACTGGCGGAGCAGACGTCTGAACAGGGTACCGGGCGGAACCCGTCCCCCCAGCTGTCCCTGTCCCAGCACCGAGACGCCTCGCTTTCCGCACAAGGCAGCCACGGGGACAGTGTGAGGACCCGACAGACAGCCTGAGGCCTGGGTGTTTTGAGGACCGTGGCTGCCCTCGGGGCCCCTTCAGAGCCCGCAGCTGAGCCCACCGAGCCGTCCCTCACTCTCTCTCCTCGGCGGATCAGAACACGAAAGGCCCTTGTACCTTCAGAGACTGGGCTGTGATGCTGAGAGAGAAGAGAAGCGAGTGCTTTAGTGGCTGTTCTGTGTGAGCCTGCCGTCAGCGTCAGCATGAAATGAACCAGTAGGGTTTTGCCACACTGATGTATCATTGCCCGCTACATAAACGCCACTTGGTCTGAAACCGAGTCTGGGGACTCCCTTTACAACCGACAGGTGGAGGAGCACGGCCGTCAGCTCTCACAGGCTGCATCCCGTGAGTCGAGGGACATCCGAGATCCATTTCAGCCCCGCCTGAGATAACTGAGTCCTGAGATAATGATAATGGATCAGGTCGGGAGTGGCTGTGCCCCGGGCGCATCTGTAGACCTGGACACATCCCTGTGCAGCACGATTCTGATCTCCTGCAGAAGCTCCAGCCAAGTCACTGGTGGGTTTAATCTCAGCCTTGGTCAGAATTAGGCTCCCAGCTCCCACCTGCGTCAGAAGCAGCCGGGCCGCTGTGTGGAAACAGGCCCAGGTGGCATCTCCTCTTTTTGCTGATCTTCCTCGTTTCCCCCTCGGGGACCCGGGGGACCTGGGATCTGCCCTGGTCCCGAAGAGAGCAGGGGCCGAGCTCTGTTCATTTGAGAGGAAGGGAGCGGGAAAGATCACAAGGTGAGGCTGGGCCGCTGAGGAGATGACCGCTGTCACGGGACCTGGTGTGGAGGTGTCGCTGAGGCCCGTTGGGAGCGCTGCAGCCTCAGCGCTGCGCCCGTGCTGCCCGCTTGGCTTCGGGGGCGTCCACGCAGGCTGTCACGAAGTGGCCATTCACGGTGGCCACTGGGGCACAGCAGGCGCGCAGCCCGTCCGCCGTGCAGGGCCCAGGCTCACGCAGACGCCCCCTGGCCTGGACGGGAACCCCTCTTAAGCCGGACCTAGTGTCGGTCGCAGATGCACCTAGTCCACCGGCTCCCTAACAGGGTCAGCATTGCAGCTCCTGCGGCAGGGGGGCTGTTTCCCCGTGATGGGCGGCCTGGGTGCTGCGGGCCACCGACCGCCCTGGGGGAGTCAGGGCCACGTACCCTGAGCCTGGGGAAAGCATGAGTGTTTCCCACGTATTGCCATCGCTTCTGCACCACTGAGGGGTTGAAAAGGGCAGGCCCTCGTGAGGCGGGGACGGTCAGTCCCGGAACAAGAGCTGCCCGCTCAGAGGCCAGCGTTCTGTCTGTGCTCAGCTCCTCAGCTTGCTCTGAAACCCACCACACAGCCTGTGGACTCCCCCGTTCCGAGGAATTCAGTGCCCCCAAGCACGAAAGGCCAGGATGGCGAATGACCTGTGCTGTGCTGAGAGAGTCTGGAGTTTCAGGTCTGCTACACGACTCCTGCCATGATTAACCCTGGAGGAGACAGAATGAACATTTTGTTAAACACAAATGAAATTCCAGGCATGAACATGCTGTCAGAATCCGCACAGTGACCCTGTCAGATGGTATAATCACTGTCCAGAAGGAACAAAACCAAGACCAGAGAGGGAAGGTAACTTGCCCAAGCACACACAGCCGGATGAGAGTTGAATTTCATGAGGCCTCACAGCCTCCAAGAGCGACCGCGTGAATTTCCTTGGCACCTGTGTCTCAGGATCAGGCCAAGTCTGGCTGATTAGGAGCAATGCTTGAGGCATCGTGTTAAAAGTCTTCCTGGGGAGATTCTCTGCTGAATAAGGCCGTCTCCTGGCTGCGCCGGGAGGGTAGCAGGACTCCACTCTGTGCGGCCGACCGTCCTCAGGCCTCTCGGAGACGCGGTCCATCTTCAGCAGAACTGTGCTTGTTGAGAATCAGGACGGAGATTCCTCAAAACTAAACAGCAATTCCATCGGACCCAGCCCTGCCCCTTCTCATCTCCCTAGAGTTGAAGACCTCACTTCACAAGGATGCGAGCACGGCAGTTATTTTCAGTCTTCTCTGTTGGAGAACTGAAAAGTGAGCAGAGCCTCAGTAAAGAATTAGAACAAAACTCCCCTAACCCTGAGGCTGCGGTGTGACCCATTCCTGTATACAACCCACTACTCCGTTTGAAAGCTTTCTACACTGCCTGCTGGTGCCTCTATTTGACTTTTTTCTGTTTTTCCTTCTTAAATTTATTTTTAGTTGACAAATTAAAGTTGCGCATGTGTGTTAAGTGCAGCAGGTCTGAGATGCACACGCGGGCGTCCAGCCCTGGCTGCATGGAGCGAGTCACATCTGCAGCTCGGCACACCGCTCTCATGTTTGTGGCGAGGACGCTTCAAACGCTCTCTTAGCGACACCAAGAGCGCCACGTGTGGGCAGTGACTGCAGCCGCTGTGCCACGCAGACCCTGGACCCGCTCTTCCTAACTCAGTTTGTCCTCCTTTCTTTCCACACACACTTTTGTTCTTTCCACCAATAGTTTAACAAACACCTGCAACCAACAGCCCTCTGCGGCGTTGCTTTTCCTCCTAGACTGCATATTTAAGTGCTTTGGTCTAGCAAACATGCTTCGGGCAGCACTGAAAATTCATTTTCAGGTGTTCATGAACCCCAGGCAGCTGAGCAGAACCTCTGCTCAGCGTAGGGTAGGCATTGCTCCTGTGTTTCTCTGGCTAAAGACAAGGACCTCAGTGTTGTAGATGGCGGCCTGCGCGGCCCTGCTCACGGTGCTCAGACTCTGCTCGGCCGTGGGAAGGACTGGACACTGGTCATCGACACGCATCACGGCTTACGGTGGCTCCTGGGCCGGCGACTCCACACAGTTTGAGAGCCTCATCACGTATTCCCAGGCCCTGGGTAGAAATCTGTGACTACAGACCTCTTACGCAATGCGCTTTCCTGACCACATTGACCGTAAAGTCCAGCCCTTTCCCAGAGCTCGCTTCTCCTCTTCAGATGCTGCCTCGCCCTTGATTTCTAGGGTCTTAGCGTTCGGGGAGAACGAGGAGAACTAGGCCACTCCTGGTTGGGCTGCGGTCACCAAGGTCTGTGTGACCAGCTGGGACGGAAAGAAGACCAGAATGCGTAACAGGGGTCACTTACGGTTCTAACGACGCCGCACTGCCTCTGATGCAGACTCTCAGACCATTACTTAAAAATAAGCAGGTTGTCCAGCTGTAAGCTTTCCCTTCATTTCCAGTCAGCCTGGGACTCAGCACAGCAGATGTCTGAAAGAGGGAGATGGCGGGCGAGACCAGTGTGTGAGGCCTCGGGGGCAGGCTCCGTCCTGGTGCGAGCAGGGTTTTACCAGAATGGGGACTCGTGTCGGCTGTGACCTCCCACTCCGCCACACTGCTTCCTGTTGCCTGGCAAGGACACAGCTCAGCACCAGTGGCCCAGGGCCTTAGAAATCAGAGCCCGTGACTTCGATTACGAAGCTTCTTGTTTGGTTTCTTCCGCAGACACGGGGCAGATGTTCCTACTGGGCTAAGTATAGAGGTAAACGATGTGCCTTAGTCTATTTCCAGCTAGAGAGACCAGGAGCGGAGATAAGTACTGACCAGCGGTGACCTGGGCATCAATGGCACAGCCCATGCCACCTCGATAAATGGGCAGATACAGAGGCATCGCCGCTGCGCTGCACTGGGGTTCAGGAATGAAGTGTGAGCCTGCCAAGTTGGTAGCCTCAGACAAGGAGTGGAGGACTCCGTCTGCACCCCAGAGTGCACGGGTGTGGCTGGGGTGCAGCCAGGTGTCCACCAGGATGGATTTCCAGCATAATACAGGAGGGAAGCCCCTTCCGGTAGGAGGCACAGCCGTCCCTGCGCCTTGTGTCCTAACCCCCTGGGGCTGCAGCTGGCCCAGTGAGACTCTGCCCTACCTCGGAGCAGGGGAAACGAGGCCATCGGTGCAGGAGGAGGCTGGCAGAGGCTGGGCCCCCGGCGAGGGTGTGTCCCGCCCCAGCTTTTCAGGGAGGCCTGACTGCGCTGTGCCACACATGGGGAAACCGAAGCCTGGGAAAAGGGAGCCATTTCTGTCCTCCCTGGGCCCTTGCTTTGCCACCTGGCCTAGCTTTTACACAACCTAAGCATGGCTGGCTGGCGGAGAGGTTCTCAAGCCCAGAGTGATCAGATTCAGAAGGGCTTGTGGAGATGCAGAGCTGGCCCCACCACTGAGCTTCCTGGTCATGGGGCAGTGGAGCCTGGGGATCTGCATTCCGGGCTCCTGGGAGACTGGGGGCCACATGCTGCGAGGTCCCGGTGTTTTCCTGTCTTCCTCTTTGGAGCCCTTTCCTGGGGGACGGGTAAGTGCTGAGTCCTCCTTCAGCCTAGCTCCCAGAGGGGCAAGGGGACAGCAGGTAGAGTACCAGGGACCCCCGAGGGCCCAGTGCTGAGCGGGGCCAGATGGCGTACACCGCTGGTCCACGTGTTCTCAGAGGGACTGACATCGCCGGTTGGTGACAGGGCGGAGGGTCAGGTCTCCCTCAGGACAACGTGGCTGGCCTGAGACTGCTCCCTGGTGTCCCTGGGGTGGCAGCTGTCCCCTGTGCCGGGGGCAGGAAGGTGAGCAGGGAAGGACTCTCCAGGTCCCCTGCTCCCAGGTGGCTGCCCCGGGCAGTGGTGGGTGGTCTGACCGCCTGGGGCTGGAATTTCTTCTTGACCTCAGCCCCGGGGACATCCAGGTGGCAGAGTCCAGGGACTTGTGATGAGTAGGGTGGAGAGGGAGCTGAGCTCCCGTGCTCACTCACCAGGCCCAGAGGTAGAGGTGAGCATCTACGGGCCCAGGGCTTCTCAGCCGTCTCATGTAATCCTCGGCGGCCCTGACCTGAGAAGCGTGGCTGGAGAACCAGCGGCCTCCCCAGCCCCAAGTCTGTCGTCGGAGGAAGTGGACCCAGCAGCTGTCACCTTTCCACTTCTCAGTGGGCTGGCAGGCTGCGCCTGAGCCTCAGAATGTCGGGGCCTCACACCCTGGTCCCGGGCAGCTCCCAGACCCCTCAGTGGGCTGGCAGGCTGCGTCTGAGCCTCAGAATGTCAGGGCCTCACACCCTGGTCCCGGGCAGCTCCCAGACCCTTCAGTGGGCTGGGAGGCTGTGCCTGAGCTTCAGAATGTCAGGGCCTCACACCCTGGTCCCGGGCAGCTCCCAGACCCTTCAGTGGGCTGGGAGGCTGTGCCTGAGCCTCAGAATGTCAGGGCCTCACACCCTGGTCCCGGGCAGCTCCCAGACCCTTCAGTGGGCTGGCCACTCACTGTGAGCCAGCCAGTGGACTTCTCTATTGTACTTTGCAGATATCTCTGGATCACTAAATCACATTCTGCATAACTTTTTGGTAGTACTGGAGACTGCACCCATGGTCTTCACACTGAGCTGCACCCCAGCCCTTTTTTAATTTTTCATTTTGAGACAGGGTCTTGCTAAGTCACTAAGTTTCTCAGGCTGAGCCTGAACTTCTGATTCTCCTGCCTCAGCCTCCCAGAGAGCTGCTATTACCGGCGTGCACTGCCAGACGGAGTCTCCCCACCCCTGGCTTTCATTTCCCTGCTAGTCGTCCACAGTGCCCTGGGAGGCAAGAGGGGCAGGCAGTGTTTTCCTCATGGCATCCATGGGAAATGGGGAAAGAGAGGCCCAGAGACTCTGCGCCCCCAAGCACGTGGCAAGTGTGCGCCAGCAGCATGACCTGCCCTGCTTAGTGTCCCTGCTCTACTCACCCTGCTCCGGCGCTTCTGTTCCCACACCAGCTGCTGTTGGAGTCCTAATGTCACACTGAGTGCTGCAGATCCCAGCTCTGCTAGGCGTCCTCACAGGAGTCTCTCTGCCTCTCTGAACTGCTTCCCCTCTGTAAGATGAGATGACTCTGGCCTCACAGGGTGATATAAGGAATGAAAATAAGGTCAACTAGATGTCACAGTACTTCTCTCATTGCTAGGACAAAATTCCCAACATTCACAAGTTAAAGCAGGAGAGGTCTATTTTGGCTCTCAACTGGGAGAGGTTTCACTCCATAGTGGGCTGGGTGGCGTGGCAGAGGGGCGTGGCAGAGGGGCATCACAGAGGAGAAACAGTCCATAGCATGGCAGGCCAGATGCAGCAAGCAGCGGGCCTTCTGGACTTTTATCCCATCCAGGCTACAAGCCTATTGGTTGGTGCCACCCACAGCCACGGTGAGGTTTCTCATTATCCACTCTCAGAACGAGCTAAACCAATCAGGGGATTAATTTAGTTATCACACGCCCTTACTCCATATTCACAAACCCCAGATCCAACCACCTCCGAGAAGTCCCATCTACGAGTTCATGGGACTTCGTGAGGGACATCTGGATACAAGCCATAGTGCTGGATTAAAACCTCATAGAACAGGACAGTCAATAAATGCTAGTTTTATCTTTCTACCTCGCCTGCCTTATGCTGGCACCAGGGATTTAGAAACATAGAGAAGCCAAGGCAGGGAAGCAGTAATTGTCAGCAGCACATGAAATACTGTTTATGTATTTAATTTTAAATAAGGCCCTGAGATGCCTTAGCTTTGTCTCAAACTCTCCTACTTAAACAGGAAAGTGGCCCTCGGTGGGCAGTGCTGCTACAGTCAAAGCAAACAGGCCAAGGTGTTTACAACCATGTGGTCCACACAGACCTGTGTCTCTTCCACTCTGGGCATCGCGCAGAACAACACCCTGAGCTGTTTCATGTGTGCTCTCACTGTCACTCAGCTCTGGCTCTGTCAGCCGTAACACGATGTTTTCTTCATTTTCTCTGTGTGAAGGTTGGGCGGAGCCTTTGCATCTGAACAACTACATCAGGACGGAGGAGCCTGGCTGCCCTGGACACCAGAAATCACCGCGTTCTCAGGCCGGCCTTGTCTCTAAGTGTGATTCCCACACACAGGCTCTCAACTGGGAGAGGCAGAGTAATGCATCCACGTGGCCAGTCTCGGAGCCCTGCCTGTGTTTCTGATTTCCGCGGCACTGTTCTCTCGGTTGAGTCCATCGTCCTTGAAAAGCACACGTGTATAAGACACGACCTGATTTCAATGAAACAGACACCTTAAGAATCTGAGCAAGTCGAGGTGACCTCTGAGCACGACCGCAGCAGTGCCCTGCGCCCCCCGGTGCGGACAGACCCGGGGGTGACACTCCTTCACATGCTCCTGCAGGCACAGACACTGGACCCCCGAGGGCAGAGTTTAGTTCTGGGCAGCTGGGAAACAGAACAGGGGACAGCGCCAGAGAGGGGAGGGACAGGGGCCACACCCCCATGACCCACCCGGAAGCGCACCACCATCCCAGGGTGATTCCACAGCCAAGCAGGTTGACACAGGTACGAGGTGGGTTTCAGACCGTGCTCCCGAATCCCGAGGCTCCTTGGAGGACTTGCCATGGCAGCCCCTAGGGAGAAGGTACAGCTAACCTAGAGGTGTTTGCAGCGGTACCCTCTCCTAGTCCCCACCCCACTCCCTCAGTCAGAGCACCGCGCTTTCACTGACTTCATGTGTTTACATCTCCATCCGGCTTAGCTGGAGCGGCTACGCTGCAACAAACATTCCTTTTAAATCTAGGCTTTGAGCGTGGTGACCTTGAATGCGGTGTAAAAGCCCTCCACTGGCTGAGGAGATTTGTGTAAGATCGGTGGCTGGGAGAGTTTCACCCGGTGTGGGCTGCGATCCAGGCAGGCGCCTCTCACTTTCCAAAATCACGTCAGCTCTCAGGGCTGAAGCAGAGCACAAGCATCAGGAGCACAGCGCACAGCAGACCTGGAACAAAGCGCACAGCACCACCAGTGAGATCCCACGCCGGGCGGCCCCGACTCAGCGGCTGGCGCTCTGACAGGATAGACGGAGCGGGAAGGTTGCCAGGAAACTCTGGAGATCGAATTGCTTTTGCCAAGCCAGCCCCGCAGTGCAGTCAAGAGCTAAGGAGCCCCAAGAGAGGGCTGGGAAAGGACCGGTCTCTGTTTCTCTGCCCCCAAGGTGGGCCCTTTTTGATTAGAAAAGTGGAGTGTAAAGGAAGTTATCGGGTGAAATCAACTCAGCAAGAAACCTTTTAAGACCAAAGCCCCCGGAAAACCAATAAAACCAGATGAGCTGCTTCCTGCTTATCATGTCACACATCGTGCACGGAGGTCAGCTTGCTTTCAGCACGGCCAGGCTGCCAGACAAATAGGAATTCCAGTTCTACAAAGAGGTTTTCACCCCCAAAGGAGAGCCTGGCTCCTTCAAGGGACAGTTGCTGTGTGGAGCTCTGGGTCAAGCAGAAAGTGATTCTGAGAGACGCCATTGCCGCCTCACCTCGCCTACGCATAGGGGTTACATTTAGCTGGGAGAAGCAGCCCGGAGCAGAGCTGAGACCAATCAGTGGTTCTAGTTTCCTAGGTGAGAGCAGGGGCGGGGCCCAGCCCAGGTCTGGAGCTGGGCTCAGGGATGTCAGGGCCCAGGCTCGTAGTGGAACCTGCGTTTTTCACTGGGAGCCAATGACCGTGCCTGCTCCTCTCTGGAATCTTCTCCGTGCTCTAGGTACGGGAAAGGGGACAGCAGAGCGTGCTCCTCCTCCTCTACTCTGTCCCCACATCTTTCTGGAAACTTCATCCACTGGCTTCTGCTTGGAAAGGTCACAACCCACTCTGTCTGCCAAGGATGCTTAGGCATGTGGCTTTATTAGCTGGGTGTGCTGCTGTATTCAGTAAAATTCATGCTTGTTTCTAAGGAAGAAAGGGAGCAGGCACACCATCCTACCAGCTCGCCACTGGGAGACCTACCACAGGTCCTGCCTCTTAGTGAGGTGGTGCGGTTGTCCACCTTCTGGACTCCTTTGGGCCACTCCACTGTTCTCTGTCAGCTGATCCAATCACCTGCGGTTCACAAACATTAAAAAACTGTGCTGAACATGCACAGACCCTTTTCTTCTCACTATCTCCTGAAAGCAGTGTAAGAAATTTCACACAGCTGCATTGTACGAGGTGCTGTGAGCCATTCAGGGGGTTCACACACAGGAAGAAGGGCACAGATGCCTGCACACTCACACTGTTCTGCAGGAGGGACCCGAGTGCCTGCAGGTTTTGGCATCTGGAGGGGTCCTGGGACCAGTGCCCCGGAGGGGTCCGTTCCTGCTTCTCACTGTGCTTTGCCTCTGTACAGGGGGCTCTGCTCTCCCCCTGGCCCCGGGCCCCTCACTGGGTGTCACCCGTAAGGGTCAGGTGGTAGCCCCATCTGTTCCACGGCTAGGATGGCTGCAAGTGCCACTGAGGTTGGGTCACAGCGCTGTGCATGGGGAGTGTTGGCTTCAGCCCTTGGCAGGCGGGGCAGCGGGACCCAGGCCTGGGAGACCTGGACATTCCTCCTGGGGACACTGCAAGAATTAAATAAATTAGTGCAAGTTAGAGCAATTCTTCTTAGATCAGCTATGAGAAAGGACTGGTTCATTTCTTTTCCTAAAAGAAATAATGAGATCCCAGTTATTGAGATTTCCTTGGTTTTCGCCTCAGGCTGCTTCTCTTGTAAGAGTGCCTTCCGGTCCTGTGACAGCTGGGCCTCCTGTCTCCCGGCTCCTCTGGGCGGCGGCATTTCCAGATGTGTCGGTGTCTGACGCCCAGGAGGATGGAGGAGCACTGACTGGGTCATCTGTAGAACGTCCCACTGCTGGTTTCTGGGGAGAATGGCGCTGTGGCTGCTGAGAGGAGGACGGACAGGTAAGTTGTACCGGTCACCACGAGCAGGGGCAGGAACCATCAGGGGATGCTGTGTGCTGACCTTGGTTACCCGGCCGGAGGGTGATGTGTTTCTTTTTCATCCGTTTCATAGCTAGCCTTACTGCACATCATAGGCACAGATCTACAACACAAATCCTCAACCAAATGAGGTCTCCAGTCACTGCACGCGTGGGGACTGTGGCCGTGTCACGGTGCCATGCAGCATCTGAGTGTTTCCTGTCAGCTCACCTACTCATCCACGCTGTCCTGCCTGGCAGAGCCGCCTGGAGCCTGTCGCACGCAGGGTGGTATTGTGCCAGCACCTATGACATGGGGCTTTCCATAACTAACGCCAGAACACCCCGGGGATTCAGAAACAATAGGCAAATGTGAGCTGGAATCCTGGAGTCGCTACAGGCGGAAGAGGAAGGGACCCTGGCGAGATTCTTGCTACTTCCTTCTCCTACAGATACAGAAGTGGAGTCCTAGGGGATGGAGGCTGTGTCCTGTGGAAATGTGGCGGCCACCTGCTCCTGGCCAGCCCCATGTTCCTCACGGTGTACTTCCCACCACCTGACTCTGACCAGAACCTCTGGGGGCACAGAAGAAGAGCAGAACGGACATCAGAGGGCCCGAGATCCACCACCCTGCCCCATTTCTCCCGGACTTCCTAACCTCCCACCGCCTCATTAGAACTTCAATGAGCAGCGGAAGATGCGAAAACGCTGGAGAAGCAGAGGTGCCCACTTGGATACAACTGACATTCAGATCATTGATCATCGGGGCCAGTTTACACTTTGGAGATAAGTCAGTCTCTATCCTATGGAAGTCGGAGGCACAGAAGCCCCAGTCTGCCTCTTCTGTGGCTGTGAGCTGCTGGGCACCTTGTGGGAGCTGAGGCTCGAGGCGATGTGCAGGTGGTCGGGTCCTTGGTCATCAGAGGGCAGGTAGCTCTCCTCCGTCACCCAGTGTGGGCAGCAGCAGCGACTCCCTGGGCCCAGCCCGTCCGGCCTGGGTGTGGCAGGGCTGCCCTGGGCTTGCTCCGCTTCTCACTCAGTGCTGCCAATGGAGGAGGTGGCCGGGCAGAACTCCAGACCTCTAAAGCTCTGGACATGGAATGGGCACGGAGTCACCTCTGCTCACAGGCCATGGCACAGCAAGTCTTCTGGCTGGACTCAGTTGAGGGTAGTGTCGGGCCGTGGAGAGCTGGAACTGTGTTTCTCAGACACCCTTCACTGCCTGAGTGTGGGGTGGCGTAGGCCACAGAGCAGGGAGAACAGGGCTTGGAAGGTGGCAGTGAGGCCACAGTCACACCCATGGCTGCTGCAGATCACCTGTGGCCATTTCCTGCACCCGGCGGAGCTCAGCAGTGTGAGACACCATGGGGATGTGGCTCCTCGGGACTCTGCTTGGCCATCAGCAGACACCCAGCCTTCCTGCATCACTCTGCTGGCCTCAGACCTCAAACCAGACCGAGCTGACACCCTTCAGCGGACCTCCGTCCCACCCGAGAGCACCGAGGTCCCGTCACTGATGCGGGGGGACACACGTGCTGCTATGATGAAGCCAGAGCAGGGTGAGGAATGGGGGTTCACCGTGTGGACGGGTGCTCCCCCTGTGAAGACAGGAGGGTGTGCAGGCGATTTTGGAGTACTGCTGAGAGTTAAGGCAGAGGGCTCCGGTCCACCGTCAGCACACACAGCTGCGCTAAGCACCAAGCCCGCACAGTGGCCGCTCCGATTGCTCTGCTGCAATCAGCCCACACAGCTGCGCTAAGCACCAAGCCCGCACAGTGGCCGCTCCGATTGCCCTCTGCTGCAATCCTGTTTGGACGGTCTGCTGAGCTCAGTGGAGCTGTCCATGCTTTGTAAAGCAGGGAGTTTTAAAAAGTATTCTTTTTTCATCAAAGCACTCTAACAAGTGCTCCTCCAACAAAGCCAGGTAGAGTGACTAAATCCCCAAGGTCGAAATCCTCACCTGCTTACTCCAAGGCACACTTGACAGGCTAATCGGGTAGAATAACTAAGCAGCCCTGGTCTCCTCGGAGCGCCTTTTCACGGGGTTTGATCTTCAGTAAAAATAACCCCTTCTTTCATTTGCCTCCCACCACCGGGATGACCCCAAGTCGTGGGCTTCAGTAACACTTTAAATGTGATAGTCTTAAGAAGTCTTTTATGCCTTTACTTTTTCTTAAAACAAAGTCCCTTGCTTGGCCTGGGACGCTGGCTTTTGGGAGCTAGGACGCTGGATTTTTTCCTGATGCCAAACTAAGAAAACTTCCCACCCATTCACCATCCGATTGGCTTCCTGTCATTTTCATCCGTCTTTCTGACAGTGCCTGTCTAAGTTTTCCCTCAAAGGTGTATGTTACTTCCAAGGTCTAAAGTTATTAGGATTTAGAATCTCTGATTTCAAAAGTGAAATTTAATCTCAATCAAGCGTAGAGAAAGGGACCGAAGTTTGCAGTCTTCTCCTCCATAGAAGACACTCATGACCAATGTTTGCCACAGCGATGCTTTGTTTCTATGACAGCATCGGGTGCCCTGGCCACACAGGAGGCTTTGGGGTGGCTGACTCCAATGGACAGAGCAGCGCGATTATCTCAGGGTCACCACGCCTATGAAGTTTGCCAATACTTTTGTTTTTGACAGCTTGGAGAATGTGTTCATCATAGGTGAGGCATGAGACACATTTTTATTGGAAAGAAGAAAAACAAAGTGAAACTTTCACGTGAAGGTCTGAGGGCACCTGGTGGCTCCAGGCCTCTGAGTCGGGGATTAATGTCACCTGCGGGAGGAGGCAGAAGGTGCGGATGGGAGGCACAGGTGGGCTCTGTGTTACCGGGACAGGGGCGATGGGATGGCCCGGGCTGGAGGAGGAGGGCGAGCAGTGCCCGTGTCCAGGCCATGGACGGGAGGGGCAGTGCCCGCCCCCCGACGCTGACCCTCAGGTCAAAGGTGGAGATGATCCCACGTGGGAGCCGCGCTGCCCTTCTCAGGTCTGCTTTGTTCTCTGTGCGCTGCAGAGGCCTGGAGAGAGTTGCCAGGGTGCCTGAGCAGAGTGCTGGGGCTGGGCCTGGGTACCGAGAGTGGGGACCCAGCCGGGATGCAGAACAGCTGCGGGGGCGACACAGCCAGTCAGTGCCGGGGGCCGAGGCAGGCTGTGTGCACTCTGACTGCCCCACAAGCTCCCGCTCTCCACCACAGAAGCCCATGGCGTCTGTTCTCAGCACACTGACGCCGGCCGGCTGGCCTGCAGGGCCTCTCCGGTGCCAGGATCCGTGCTCCCCTGTGTCTGGCTGGGCAGGCGGCCCTGTCCCCTCACACGCAGCTGTGCACCGGACGAGCAGGCAGCCCCTCGGCTTGACCCGGCCCATGGGCACCTGTGGTCCTCTCTGGTCCTTCCCGGTGCCCCTCCAGGCCCGAGAAGGAGCCTGCGGGCATCAAAGGGGGTCCAGTGACCTCACAGACAGAAACCACGCTGTGGCCTCGGAGGGTTTCTTCCCTGTGGCTGTTGTTGTCCCGGACATGGCTCTGTTCTGTCCGGTCATAGACCTTAATGGAGTCCACCTTCCGCCACACCGGGTCTGTTCCCTTTGCGTCCCGCGATGCTCCCTCACGGTGCGACTGCTGGTTTGTCACGGCACCTAGTGATGACGACCTGCAGGGGCTTCTGCTCAAAGAAGGGAAGCAGCAGGGTACTGAGGGAGCCCCCTGGGGGGCCCGGATGCTCTGAATGCAGTCCTGGGGCCCTTGGGTAATCTCCGCGACTCCCTCCCATGTGCGGCCTGAGTCTTGGGATATTTCCTCTGCTATGTAACAGATTACCGCAACACCAGGCAGCTAAAAACAGAAAGCACTGCCTCATGCTTGCTGTGGGCCGGAGCGGCTTGGTCGGCGGCTTGGTTGGCTGCTTCTGCCACAAGTTGGCCTTCCAGGAGTTGGTGGGGTTGTGGCCTCGTCTGGAGGTGGGAGGAGGATGCTCTCATTCTCGGTCCCACAACTGTGAGAAGAATTCACTTTCTTGCTCCTGTCTTCTGCAGTCTCGCGGAATTCCATGACACAAGGCACTGGCTTCCACCACAGTGAGCAGATCTCAGGGCAGGGGTACTCATTTCTTTCCTGTCACTGGGAGTACTGAGCAGACACCCACAGATTAAGGGGCAGAGGGTCATCTTGGTTTCAGAGGGTTCAGTCCGCAGCAGCTGGCTCCAAGGCAGAAAGGGCCTGGTGGAGGAAAGCTGCTCACTGCACAGGAAGTAGAGAGAGGGGAGGAGCCAGGACAGAAGACAGCCTTCCAGGGTACACCCCAGTGACCACCTCCAAACAGGTCCGTGTCCCAACAGCACAGTCAGCTGTGAGTCCGTCCCTGGGTGAACCCACTAGCAGTACACTACCCTGTGATCCAGTCACTTTCCCCAAACCCCACCTCTGAACACACGAGACCTTCGCGGGACATTTTTTATCCAAAGCACAACAGTGAGCAAGACAGAAGCCGTGTGACTTGTAATGACAAGGCTCTCCTTGTGCTCAAGCCCAAGCTTGGGCGCTGTCCTTGGCCTGCTTATTCTAGTTCCAGGGTGAATCCTGCGGAGTCCGTTTACCAGACTTCCCCTGGTCCCTCATGGTTCCTCTTTGTAATCTTCTGTTCCTGACTCCTAACCTGTTCCTTCCCTGGCCATAAATCCCTACTGCCCTTGTTGAGTTTAGAATGGAGCCCAGTTCCATGCCAAAGTCTCTCTTGCCCTACTGAAACAGTTCCTAGCTGGGCCTGTAACCCCAACACTCTAGGAGGCTGAGGCAGGGGGATCAGAAGCTTGTGGTCAGCCTGGGAAGCTTAGTAAATTATGGAGAATATGTCTCAGAATAAACAATTACTACTACTACTCTACTACTACTACCACTGCTACTGCTTCTACTGCTGCTGCTACAATGTGAAAGCCCAGTTTCAATCTCCAGTGCATCGTGCCCCCCCACACATACACAATTCCTGAATAAAATTGTCCTTCACTGCCTTAATTTCTGCTTGGCTCAGTTTTTCCTTTGACAAGAACCTCAGCTGGGAACAGCGTGCCTTCTGTTTCTCCACATTCCATTGCCGGAAGCCAATCTGGATCCAGCCACACTGAGGGTCTTGCACAATGGCCACACTGGCAGGCGGGAGCTGTGGGGTGATCCTTGAGGCTGCGTGCCACCGTCCTAGAGTAGTCACGGCCCCGGTCTTGGGGAGAGCACTGTGACCCCTTTTCACCAGCTCTGACCAGTGGATGGCCTAGGCTGTGTGTGTGGGGGGGTACCGGGAACTGTGCAGGGCATGCGCAGTGAGCTACAGTGTAGACTTTTTTCTTGTTTTTCATTTGAGACAGGGTCACACTAGGTTGGTAAATTGCCCAGGCTGGCCTTGAACTTGCCATCCTGCTGCCTGGACCTTCCTGAGTGCTGGGATTACAAGTGTGCACCACCACGTCTGACTGTCTGGGCTTTGATTTTAGTCATCTTTCCTCAAGGCTCCTGGCACCCAGATCCTGCAGCCTTACAGCTTCCACCACTGCAGCTTCTCAGGCTGGGCCCTGCAGTCACCACTGACATCCTGAAGCACACTTGGCTCCCAAGGGCCTGCCTCTCCTCGGAGGACTCTGCAGCCAGCTGCCCTCAGGGTTTGCCCTCCATGATGCTGGTCCGGCTCCTCCAGTCTTAGCACTGGGCTTTGGGTCACGATTTAGGCCACGGCTGCCCACGGACACCTTTTCTCTGTTGTTTGTCTTGGGCACCAGAGTCTCTCCAGGCCCTGAGCAGGGACACAGGGGCTCTGTTCTGCAGTTTGGGTTTCTCCTCCTGGCGTATCAGAGCTTGCTGGGCTGCCTGGTGATTTAGGGGCGACTTTCCTGGACTTTACAGAGTGCTTTTGTCTGTGCCCGTCTTATGAACACAGCGGTGCTCCGGGGAGCAGACGTTGCTACTCGGAGGATCGGTCCAAGCCACGTTTCCAGGCCCTCTGTCCAGGACGTATGGGTGATGGGACTAGGCTGGGGTGACTTGGTCCAGTCCAGACAAGGACGACCTTATCGGGCCTGGCCATGGGTGCGGTGGAGCCTGAGCCTGACCGTGGCGCTGTTATTGGCCTCTGATGGCTGGGAGGCAGTGAACCCCAGCCCGCGCCCTTCAAGGCAGCCGCTGACCTCACCCTGAGGTAAGCAGCTTCAGTTCATCCCAATTCCTCCTCGTGGCCCTGGCGGTTTGCATTGTTGTCATTCTTGAGCGTTATTATGCTTTCAGAGGAAGGGGATGCAGGGTGAAGACATCTCCTAGCTGCTCCCTTTGAAGGCCGCTCTCCAGATAAGGGGGAGGAAGGACACAAAAGAGCATCCTCTGCGACAGCCAGGCGTCTCCTCAGAGCTCGGGAAGAATGGCGTCATTGTGCCTCGCTCTCAGCGGTGCTCCAGGCTTTGGATCTTCTAGGAGCTCCCTCTGGTCAGCCACGGCCGGGTCTGGAGTTCTTCTCCATGCAACCTCCCTGATCACACAAAGCCGCCCGGGCCCAGAGCGGGTACTCTGCGCAGCACTCAGGCCCAGGGAGAGTCCTGGGAAGGGGTGGCAGAAAACTGGAGTAAGAAATGGGAAGAGAGAGAGTCTAGGACCCCAGAGCGGTCCTCAAGACACTGGCAGGTGCAGAAGGAAAAGGCCTGGTCTGGCAGGTGTTAAGAAAATACCTAAACCCTCAGGCAGTGGGCGCTGCAGTCCCCTCAACTCCCTCATCCTGCGCTTGAGTTTCCCAGTGGTCTTCTGAGTGGTCTCTGTGCTTCCAGTCCTTCGGCCCAAGCCCAGCCTGATCTCAGCATGTGCAATGCACATTCTGGTCACTGCAGACCTTCGCAGCAGACCTCCCGAGTCCCACAGGATTTTCCCTGACAGCCCTCACCCAGAGCCTGCAAGTTCTCGCTCAGTGAGGGGTCCCCTGCCGAGAGCAGCCCTGCACTCAGCCCCTGGGACTCTCGCCCACTCCCCGTCCTCACCCCGGCCACCTGCACTGGGTGTTTGTAACCAGGACTGTGCCACACAGCGGCATCTTAGGGGAAAACGGCTAAATGAAGAAGTCATGTCCGGCAAATACTGCTCCAGAAACTGCTGTTTGGTGATATATTCCTCCTCTGGGCCTGCAAGTTTGAAAGACACTGATTTTTAAGAACATCACAGTTTCTTAGATCATCAAAGAAAACAAAAGTATGTCCAGTTTTCTACTGTGTGAGGACCGACTCCACTTCTCCGTTGGGCTGAACCTGGAGTATATAAGCTTGAATCCCCCTCAGTCCCTTGGGCTTAGATGAAACATCAGATTTAGAAACTGCCTGTCACAATCTAACCAATGTTCTCCCTGCTCCCTTAGCAGCGTGGGTGGGTTGTTACCAGTCGCTGGATGGTCTCTCTCCCAGAAGAAACTGCTTCTGTTTCTACTTTTGCTGCCACAGGAGAAAGCCTGCCCTGGAAGCTGTCCACGCCTGCTGCCCACAGTGATGTCCCCAAGCAGAGGTTAGTGTGTGCGGCAGGCAGGACCTGGGCATCGGTGTATTCCCCAGAGTGCAGCCTGTACTCACCGTCTTCCTGGGCAGAAACAAAAGCTCCCTTACATTTTGAAGAAAGAGATCATGCCTGTGTTTTTCACATGTTCATATGATTTGTTTAGGAAGCCGGTCCTGGCACCTGGGAACAACGTGTGATTCTGTTTACCTCTTGGCACTGTGACAGTGGCATTCAGATCTCACCTGCACCTCCGGAGCGACCTCCCAGAGCCCAGCACCCAGTCCTCCCTGTGCTGAGCAGCACACAGCAAGGCAAGGCCCCGACTGCTCTGTCAGGCCAACTTAATAAAAAGTTAACAGGAAAACTCCGCTTCATGAAAATCCCTATGGATAGCCACTCGGATTGGCTGAGGCCCTGGAAACATCCACTTGAAAAACAGCCTTAATTACTTAGAACTGTCATTAAAAGTTCAGTTTGCAAATTCTTTTCTCAGATTAGGCAACAGATCAGGCCCGACTGGAATATAAACACGTGCTTCTCTGGAGTCATCCGCATTTCCACAGGCAAGAACGCTTTGCTCTAGTGGGGTAGCCACTGCCTGAGACTTTGGAAGTCATTTTTTGGGGCGCTCAGTGGGTGAAGCTTTCCCAAACTGTGGACCCTGATGTTCTTGCACACATTTTAGAAACTGGCGTGGTGACTGACAGTTTCACTGCAGAGTGCTCCTCGTGTTCCGTTTGCGCTGTAGTTCCTCCCTGCAGTAACCACACGGACTCAGCTGCCGGCCACACACCCTCATCCCAGGCGGCGTCAACCCCAGCTCTTATCCCTGAAGATGGGGGCTTGGCTCGGGTGCCCAGAGCGTTACCCGTCCTTCCTCAGAAATGCCCCTTGCGCTCAGACCCGCCAGCCCGGCTCACGGTCTCTCCCTGGACCACGGCCACGCCTCCTCCGTGCCAGCCCTCGTCCCTGCTTCCTCTGTGCCATCTCTGTACAAATGCACCCCAGCTCCACTGTGAAGCGGCCCCTCCTGTGGGTGAAGGAAAACTCCCTAGGAAGTCGCCTCTGGGTGCTCAGCCCTGCCGGGATTCCCTGCTCACCCTTCAGAGGAAAGCTGTTTCCGCACTCACGCCCTTGCTGGCCAGGAAAACACGTTTCCGTCCTCAAGACCAGAGACTGAACTCGAGTGCGCTCGGAGGGGCCTGTGCCGAAGTCTGTCAGTTTCCGGCCCCTTCCCCCGCTTGATCACAGCACTTCCCACACTGTGCCTGGACTGTCCAGGAGCTGCGTGGGTGCACACCGGCTGCTCCTCAGCTGCTCCTGGGTCATCCCTGGCCGGACCTGGGTAGAGCGGCTCTTCTGGTCCCCATGCGGCTGAGCAGGCCAGTGACTGTTCTGGACGATGAACTGGAGCAGAGGTGAGCGTCCCCTCTAGGGTCTGACACTGACTGATCCACGTGAGACTCTGGAGAAGCCTTTTCCCTTCCACGTGGTGACTGGCAGTGCTCTGGGCTAACGCTGAACCTTTTCTAATTCTGGGAACGAGAAGTCGGGTTGTGTGTTCCTGCAGCCAACCCTTCCTGACACGCGTGTCACTCCCATGGACAGTGAGCTCCTCAGCGGGGATCCTCTGGGCCCCCTGTGGCCTTGCAGGTGCATGGCGGTGTTCAGGGAAGTCTGCTGAATGAATGCAAACAGAAATACAGTATCTATCGTCTGTGAGATAGAGGACCGTTAATAAAATACAGTGTGTCCATGCCTGTCAGAAGTAATAGCCACCTGAGAAATGAACTTCAATATTTAGAGCTGATCTCTTTGTGAATAGCTTTCATGTTTTAGTCTAGTTTTGTGTTGTGGTTGTGGACTTTGCAGTACCAGGAGAAGGGTGTGTTAGCGAAGGCCCTGAGGCAGCCTTTCCTCACTTGTAAACGTCTGCGTGGCCGAACCATCGGTCCAGATGGAGCGAGCACTGTTTAGAAAATCTCCCTCGGCACTGTGAGTGCCCCGCTCAGCGGCCCCAGCGTGAGCTGGAAGCCTGTGCTGTCCCGGGGTGCTGGCTTCGAATGTCTGCCCGGGAAGCCCACCGGAACCGAAGGACGCCTGTTTCCAAGCAGCTTGTTACCGAGACGCTTTTTCAGAGATGGACAGTGCAGCAGAGCCGCCCTGAGCCAGCTGAGGGTTTGCCTTCAGTGGCCGGAGCCTGGTGGGGGCCACACGAGTCATCACTGGCGTTGGGAGCTGCCTGCTCCATCTTCCTGGCGGAGGCTCGACGTTAGGAAACCGTGACTAATGGCAGGGAGCAGGAACCCGTGGGGCTTGTCTGGCTGGGGAGAGCTCCCAGGGGATCTGTGTAGAAGCCAGCGAAAAGTGAAATGTGGCCCGACTGGACAAGATAAGATAGGAACAAGTGAGGTGGGCAGTCGCTGGAGGGGGGCAGACAGAGCCGAGGGACTCCCGGAAGGAGCGGCGGTGACTATTAGCATCCCGATCGCTGCTTCATTGCTTTGGAGCATGCACAGCTTGGGATTCTCCAGACCCGTCATCCCGGCTGGGTTCCAAAGCTTTTTGCAAGCGAGGAAACTTCTCTCCACGTGGCCTCTGCCCACAAGGAGGGGAATGGGAGGCCTGCGCTCAGCAGAGGGTTGGCCTGGAATCAGTTACCTGGTGGGGTTCTACCACCACCAGGTGTGTGGCCGTGAAGCGCCGCCCTCACTGGGTCTCGGCTTCCGCACCTGTGAACCGCTGTGCTTGGATCACAGCAGAGGGCACGAGGACTCGGTGGGGACACGCACGCGAGACTTAACGTCTTGCTGAGCACACACTGCACTCCCCAGGAGGAGTTCGGGGTAACCGGCTCTCAGACACATCACGAATCCCTCGCCTGAAATCGGGTCTGCTCCCGAGATCGCGTGAGTGGGTAAGAGGTCGGCACAGCAGGGCAGAGGGGAGTGGAGACTGCAGGCGAGCTGCACCGTGGGCACCGCGGCCTCTGGTTCCCCATCGGAGTCCTGTGGGGGCAGGTGGGCCCTGTCGGCCCCTCAGAGGCCTCAGCGCTCGGAGCTGCCAGCTTCCCCTGACGGAGGAGACAGTCCTGTGACCGAGCACGGCCCACAGCCCTTGCTTCCCAGAGCGGGGCCCCGGGCTGGTGGGGTTTCAGGCTGTGCTTGAGCTTCGGCAGCGGCGGGCTGGAGTTTATCCTCGACCACGTCCCGGTTCAGCCCCCACGCGGACATGCGCTCCTTTGTTCAGTGAACAGCAGGGTTAAGACTCCCACTGACAGCGGACCCATCTTCCGTCCTCTTCCCTCTCCAAACTGCTTTGGAGCGGCTTGTTGGGAAAAGCCCTAAGCAGCCACGGCGGTGGGGTCCATTTCTCGGGAGAGATGAGCTCTTCCTTCAAGCACCCCTTTTCCAGTGGAAACTCCAAAGAGGGCATCGAGGAGGCGCCCAAAGCCCCTGGGCGTGTGTGGGGGTGGACAGCTCTGGGCACCTCTCACAATGCTCCAAGGGGACCCCTGGACAGAGTCACGGCTCTCTGCGCCCCTCTTAGCCCCTTGCAGCAGGCTGCAAGTTGTTCTAGAGGCTGACGAGAGTGAACGCCAGCATTCCCGCTTCTCTCTCCTTCCCTACAAAGCCATCAGGTTAGGGAGCCTATTGTGGACACAGTCCATGCGGATTCTTAAACAGCTGCAGGTGGGAGCCTAGCCGGGCCCCTGGCCCAATGCAGGTGAGGCTGTCCCATTGCACAACGCCAGGGCCTTTGTGCACACCACAGGCTGAACGCATGGTTCCCAGGAAGGGGCAGTTTAGGGTGGGCTTCAGAATGTGGACTAGGAATAATGAACACCGCCATTGTTTATCCTTGTGTGTAGGGTGGTGGAAGTCACTGGTCCCATGTGCTACCGTGGAGACCGAATCAGAGATCAGCAGACTGTTAGGTAAAAAGAGCCGAAAACCAAGACCAGACCATAACAAACCTTTATTATGGGGAGGATCTGCTGGGCTGTCTCTGAACAGAGGAGAGAAAGCAACATGGCAGAACAGGGAGCTTCTTTTGTCCTTTTTTTTGGTACCGGGGATGGAACTCAGGCCCTTGCACTTGTGAGGCAGCCAGTGGAACCGCTGAGCCAAATCCTGGCCCAGGGAGCTTCTTTTATAGGACTGGGGTGGGATCGAGTGATGTAGTATTAAGAGATTGGAGGAGCCTGTGGTTTCACTAGGAGGGATTTGTGACATCACTAGCTGCTAGGAAGTATCAAGCATCAGTTTGCGCTCTCGGTGGGAGAAGAGGCCTGTCCTTTGTTGGCAGGAAGTCGCACTTTATCATGGAGGCTGCTGTTCCATGCGGCAGCCATCTTAAAGCAAGGGAAATCTAACACAGACAGGAAGGAGCTCTCGGGGCAGGATTACAGCTTCCTCACGGCCCTTGAAGCTCGGCAGCTGGGCCCGATCAGTGTTGCGTCTGGATTCTGCCCACCAAGACTCACAGACCTCTCTGACTGTGAGAGCCCGGGAGGCTTCTGCTCCGTGGCTTCAAAGGTCAGACGTCCAGGGGGAGCCCCCAGCCGCTCCTCAGCACTGCCGTGGATTTCACGTCTTCTCTGAGGACCGGGACCAGCGCTTTGGATAAAATGCTTTCCAAGAGGGTGAAAAAGCTATTGAATTTGGGCAAATAGTTTATTCTCTGCTTTGTTCATGGCATTGCTATTAATTTCAAGTTTCTGTGGTGCTGCAAGCGTCTCTCTGAGGAGCACGCAGTGTGTGTGAAGGGCACTGATGACCTCTGGGCGTCGCCCTCCCACCACCCCCGCACCCAGCTCCTCTCCAAGCCCACCTGTCCTCCCCAGGGTCCCGCCACCAACACCTGCTGCCCGGCCCAGGACGCCGAGCCCTGTGAGCCTCGCTGCCTGCACTGTACGTGGGACGATCACGCACCGTCGCCTTACTCTGAGCACTTAACGAGAGCACAGTTTCAGGCTGTAACTCGGAAGGCCTGGCTTTCTCCCAGGAGCGCTCTGAGGATGTGATGAGCTCACTTCCCCTCTGCTCCGATCACCCTGGGTGAGGAGGGCGGTGACGTGAGCCCCAAGCAGGCCGCACTCTTGACCTGTGTGCCCGAGAGGATCAGCCGACACCTCTGCCTGCACTTCCTTGTCTACGAGCAGGAAAAGGAATGTGCGGGACAGTTCCCAGGCGTGGGGAGCGCCCCCTCCCTGAGTACCAGCCTCCCTCAGTTTGCATGAGTGTGCACGGGCGGATGACTTTCAGGTGAGGAGACGTAATTCAGACTGAGGAAAGCCTGCAAACCACAACGCCCCTGACCCCTCCTGGAGTGCGGAGAACCGGAACGCGCCGACCCCAAGTGCAGGCGAGGACGTGCGGCACAGAGCGTGGAGGAAAGGGACGCCTGCTGGGGGGCAGTGGGTGCGGCGCGGTGCAGACGCAGCTCAGCGCAGGGCCCAGCAGCGCGGCTCCGGGATCTCCGCCGCGGGCTGGAAACTCGCGGGTGAATTGCGTCACGCAGAGGCCTGCAGCTCTTGTTGGCAGCCGCTTTATTCATCGCTGCCGTGGGTGGAGGCAACCGGGACGTCTTCGGTGGTGGACGCATGAAGGATCTGTGGGACAGGAGGACGACGGGCTGCTGCTCACTCTGAACAGAGCGTCCTCTCCACCAGGGGAAGCGCGCTGGGGCTTCCTGTGTGTCGCTGGGAAGGAGGGTCGTCTGAAAAGGCCCTGGCGCCAACCTCGTGCTGTCAAGCCAGGCTCGGGAGGGAGGGAGGAGGAGGAGCCGGAGAGGAGGGGTTTGCAGGGCAGCACAGGATCTGCCTCACGTGGCAGCGGTGGATGCGCGCCAGTACCCACCGGTCGGAAACCCTGGAACGTGCACCACCCGGTGAGTGAGAGCTCCTGCCAACCTCGGGCCTCGAGTGACAGTGCTGTGTCACCGATTGTGACAAATGGGCTCTGTGTGGGCGCAGACGGTGAGGGAGGCCGGGCATGGTGGGCACGGTGGTGATGGACGCTTTTCGTGGGAGTACGCTCCGTGGTGCTGGAAACCTGCAACTGTTCCAGAAAACACACTGTAAAGTTCGCATTTAGGAAGTCTGAATTTCAGACTTTCCTAACACAAACCTCCTTCCCAAGAATCGCCTGCAGATGTGAGCTTCCAGGGAGGAACGGGAGGAGGCCGTGGGTCCCTGTGGGACGTCTCTGCCCCCAGGCCCAGGGCACTATAGCCCACGCTCTGGGTAAGCCGAGGATGGGCGTGGCCTTGCAGACATCGCCGCCTGCAGCACTTAGCGTGGGCATCACAGTGCAGGAAAAGGGGCTGTGCTAGGTGGTAGGTATAGCCTGTTCCAGGGCAGGAAGTCCAGGGCAGAAAGTTCCTCACTCTGGGGCATTTCCCACCCAGACTCGTGCGGGTCGGAGGGCCTGTGGGCACCTTGCTTCCCTGATTTTCCCTTTTTCTCCACCCCTAGTCAGAGTCAGGGTAACCATCGTGAAGAGCTGCGTCTGGGCCTTTGAAATGAAGAGTCCTTCCACCTGACACCCTCTGCGGAAAGAGGCAGGCTAGGGCTGCGTCCCTCTGAGCATGGTGAGTCGGCAGCCCGCTCTCTGCTGCAGGCTGTTACCTCTCATCCCCGCAGCCCAGTCTTCCTGCCTGACGGAGACGTCGAGGCACCAGGAGCTCCCCAAGGGGGCGGTGGACGGGACAGCAGGAATTTGCACACAGGTCTGGACACTCATCTGTGCCTTTTGCCTGCCTGTGTCATCAGGAGTCTCCCAGCACTGATGGCGGGCAGAGAGAGGGGAGGAGGAGAGGGCAGCCTCTGGTGCCTCCCGTCCTGGGTGTGCCTGCCAGTCCGTCCCTGGAGTTTTCCTTAGTACATGGTGCGGCCCCGAGCTTTCCGGAAGGGAAGACGGTATCGGCACCACCACAATTTCATGGTTTCAGTTTGGCTCCCTGCGCTCGCCTGGAGTTCTGTGCAGTTCCGCACCACAGCCTTGTTGAGTAACCCAGGAACGCACGCCTGATCTGTGCTGCTCATGATGGGCCTCCTCGTCCTGCTGTGGGACTCTGGGCACCAGGACAGCATCAGGGAGTCAGAGGTAGGAGCCTCATTTGTTTTTTCCTGGCCTTCACAAATCCCCCAGCAGGTATGGGCACACCTGTCAGCCCCAGGGCTTTCCCAACTCTGGGAGGCTTAGGAGCATCATAAACACCCTCTCTCCCACACTTCCTCCTGAGGGGCTTGAAACCACGGGGCTCCAAGGGAGTTGGGCTTCCAGCAAGATCTGCCCAGGCCTCAGCTTGAACGCGCTGAGAGAGGGAGACCTGCATGAAGCCAAAGTGGCGCCTTTCCCCCTGGAAATGGGTTTCTGAAATCTGAGCGTCGCTGTGTGGGCGTTCCTTGGGGTGAAGTTTCTGGTAGGTGCCAGCACGCCTTTTGAGGTTCCTAACGATGGAAATCCTGGCTAATTCAGCCGAGTCACAGGACCCCAGCCGGCAGGTAGTTCACTGACGTCGCTCAGAGTTGGCATGAGTAAGGGTTGCACGAGTGTTTAGGGCTAACTGCCTTGGTCCCAGAAGGTACACTGAGTCGTTGGGACCCGTGTTCAAGCATGTGCATCCAAATTGTCATGTGCCGTGTACACTGAGTCGTTGGGACCCGTGTTCAAGCATGTGCATCCAAATTGTCATGTGCCGTGCAGTATTCCACCAAGAGAACTTGAACTGTTTAGGTATCCTCACAGTCTAAAGCCACATGGAAGCAGTTTGGGGCTGGTCAGAGCCCCACAGAAAGCCATCAGAGACATTTTTGTGGATAGAAGCTGTTCCTTTTCGGTGGAGATAATTGGCAGTAATGCTGACTTTCTGCACAGATTCCATATCTTTATCTTGACCAGAACACGTCTCGGAGGGGTGGGGTGGGCTGAGCTCATTGCTGCAGTGACCGCGAGGGGCCTGGATAGGACACTCGCTGGCAGAAAGGCCGCAGCTACTGAAAGTGGCTGGGAGGATGTGGGGAGGCTGGGCTCTGGTGCCGGCCTCCTTGGGGGGCTGTTTGGCTTTACGTGCCTGAGGAGGATTGCGTTGTACAGCCAAGTTGGCCTCAATCTTGTTTACATAAAAGAAATTGAGCATTTATTGCACCAGGTTACTTTTTCTCCCTTTGTCAGTCAGAGGGTCCTGGGAACACCAGTAAACAAAGATCCTGCTGTTCCTACTGTGGCTGGGCTGTGGACGGGTAACCTTTCAGTGGTCAGGGGCCCGTTTTGGGCTCAGATTCGCTGCTCTGCTCAGATGGTCCTGAATCCTCCACATGCTGGGGCCAGGCAACAGCCAGCATGTTTGCTGTTGTTTAGACTTTTGTTTGTTTGTTGTTTTGAGATAGGGTCTCGCTATGTAGTTCAGGCTGGTCTTGAACTCACTGGGTAGCCCAGGCTGGGTTCCAACTTGTTGTGATCCTCCTGCCTCAGCTTCTCGGGTCCTGGGATTACAGGTGTGCGCCACCACCACGATTGACTAATGTTGTTATTAAGTCAACCACAACACCTCTAAAAAACTACAGCCCTGATATTCAACTCCATGGTGTTTCATAGAGGGGCTCCATGCTGGTGGATAAGCAAAGAAATATTTTCTTCATTTTACTTTCTCTCCAAATGTACCTGCTATGATATTGGACTGATCTTTTGTTTCCTTGTTTTGGGACATGAAAAATAAGATGAAAATGCACCCATCAGAAAGAATTTCCTTAACTCATGCAGATCTGGCTACTGTTCCCTTTTAGAGTTCCTAGTGGCAGCTTTTCTAGCTGTCTGTTGCCCACAAATCCCACTTGAGCAGGGGCGGAAGTGGGGAAGAAAAGGGTTTTGGCGTCAGATGAACCTGGGTTTGGATACCAGTGCATCCCTCCCCCTAGTCAGTTGTCTGTGGATAAGGTAAAGAACCTTCTAAGACCTGCTCTTCTGGCTGATGAAATCAGGACAAGGAGGCAGGTTTCAGAGCCGACATCTCTAAAGGGCACGACACTCTGTCTCGACAAACTCGGAGTTGTGGTGACAGAGTCCCTCAGGGCCCAGTGGCCGTGTCATTTGCTGGGACTCAGAAAATGATGCTCATGGTGTGGCACCCCGGTCGCCGGACTCTTGGGGTCCCAGGAACCGTGAGACCTGAGTGGTGCCTCCCGGCCCTCTCCTGGAGCAGGGCCACTGTGCTCTGAAGGTCCCCAGTCCTCGGTGAGGCCCAGCCCCTCGCACGGTCCCGCCTGCTCCCGTCCTCTCGCTGAGGTGCCCCGAGCCCAGGAGGCTACCCCGGTCAGAGTGGAGACCAGGAGATGCAGCTTTTCCTCCAGCCTGGCTCTCCCGGGAGGCTCATCCCTCCTGACAGCCCTGACCCACCCAGCTGCGGGCCTCCGAGTTCCCTCCCCAGCACCGAGAAGGGTGCAGCCTTCTGCCTCCCCGCACAGCCCTTCCAAGCTCCTCTCCCCTGTGTCTCCCTGCAGGCGCCTGGCTGAGGGGCCCTCGCCTCGCTGCTCTGGGCAGTCTTTGGTGGCTTGAGCAGTCAAGGGTCAGTCATGCACAGCATGCGTGCTCGTGTGTGCGTGAACATGCCACGGAATTCCCCACACTGTAAATTTGTCACCAAATTGGCCGTGGCCCATGTCTGCCCGTATATACACACAGCGACTGCAGCACAGAATCAGTCCAGAGATGTGTGTGTGCTCGGGGAGTTACCAGCTGTTCACATAGTCTTTGGTGGCTTGAGCAGTCAAGGGTCAGTCATGCACAGCATGCGTGCTCGTGTGTGCGTGAACATGCCACGGAATTCCCCACACTGTAAATTTAATTGTCACCAAATTGGCCGTGGCCCAAGTCTGCCCGTATATACACACAGCGACTGCAGCACAGAATCAGTCCAGAGATGTGTGTGTGCTCTGGGAGTTACCAGCTGTTCTCGCTGGGTCAATCGGCCCGTCGGCCAGCAGGGCGGTGCCTGTCCTGCAGGTTCACAGCCCAGGCTGTGCCTCAGGTGCTGCGCCTTGGCCATGCTGACTTCCCCAGGTCCTGCTCACAGCCCCTGGGCGGCTCTTCCTACCCCTTGTCCCTGGCGGGACATCTGGAGCTGGGTGACGCTGAGGAGCTGCCCCGTCACACAGAAGGAAGGGCTCAGGTTCCGAGGCAGCTGCCTGACCCAGGGGCCACTGTTTGGCCGGGACTCTCCCCCACTTGACGCTGAGGAGCTGCCCCGTCACACAGAAGGAAGGGCTCAGGTTCCGAGGCAGCTGCCTGACCCAGGGGCCACCGGGACTCTCCCCCAGTGGGAGTGATGCAAAGGTCCCTTTCCTCTCTGACTTTCCAAGGTGGAGCCCTGGAGAAGCACTCATGCTGTGAGCTGGATTTAGGAGCTGGATCCACTGCCTTTCCTGTTGGTCTCTTTCTGCGGGTTTGACTCTGTGACCCACAGAACGGCTTCATTTGCGGCCGGCTGTGTTTCTGTTCCGGGAGGATGTGTGGGTGGGGAGGTGCTCCCAGTATCAGATTCAGCCAGGCAGGATGCTGCGTGGAGACTGGGAGGAGGGGAGCAGGGAGAGGCCTAGGACACAGCAGCCTGTCCTTGGCTAAGAGAACCCCGAGGTGTCTGCAGCTTCTCTGTGGCTGGATCTCAGGTGTCCCGAGGACGAGCTCTTGTGGCGTTGCTCACCTGCTTCTGCTCCTGCCAGCCTGCATGGGCTCCAGCCAGCTCTGTTCGGCTGTGTTTCTGTTCTGGGAGGATGTGTGGGTGGGGAGGTGCTCCCAGTATCAGATTCAGCCAGGCAGGATGCTGCGTGGAGACTGGGAGGAGGGGAGCAGGGAGAGGCCCAGGACTCAGCAGCCTGTCCTTGGCTAAGAGAACCCCGAGGTGTCTGCAGCTTCTCTGTGGCTGGATCTCTGGGGTCCCGAGGACGAGCTCTTGTGGCGTTGCTCCCCTGCTTCTGCTCCTGCCAGCCTGCATGGGCTCCAGCCAGCTCTGTGTGTGCAGAGAGCGAGGATCCGTGAGGCTGCCCGTGCAGCCAGGTGGCCCTTGATGGGCACATTATTCTGTGGAGTTCTAGCATTGCCTGCCCAGGATTTGCCCTGGCGAATGCTTGGTAATGCAGTTTCATGGCTGCCTAGGGAAAAGGAAGCCCAGCGACCTTCCTTGAAAGCCGCTTTCATGTGCGGCCTCTACACTAGGTCTGCATAGTATCCTTTAACAAACAAGAAAAAGTGGCCCAAGGAAGTTAGGCAACGCTGCCAGAGGTTTGTGATAAAATCTCCAGTCCCTGCCAGGGACAGGGCGAGCCCTGTCGTCTGAGGATTAACTTTTCTACTGGAGCAGCCAACGCTTTTCTTTCCTTTCTTTCCCAGCTCTCCAGGAGCCACGGTGTGGGTGAGGGGTAAAGTGGGGAGATGTCACATACACACAGGTTCACACAGCCAGCAACACATCATCTGTGGTGCACATGATCCTTCCTACTGTGACAGTGAGGAAGTGGAGACGTGGATTATGCAGGTGACAGAGCTGAGTCACACTGATGACATGCAACGCTGCCAGAGGTTTGTGATAAAATCTCCAGTCCCTGCCAGGGACAGGGCGAGCCCTGTCATCTGAGGATTAACTTTTCTACTGGAGCAGCCAACGCTTTTCTTTCCTTTCTTTCCCAGCTCGCCAGGAGCCACGGTGTGGGTGAGGGGTGAAGTGGGAGATGTCACATACACACAGGTTCACACGGCCAGCAACACATCGTCTGTGGTGCACACGATCCTTCCTACTGTGACAGTGAGGAAGTGGAGACGCGGATTATGCAGGTGACAGAGCTGAGTCACGCTGATGACGAACGCTGGACCTCAGATTGTTCTGCAAAGCTGTAGCCCGCCCTGCTCCAGGTGCCCCTAATCAACATGGGACTGTAAAGCCAGGAGGCTGAAGGCTGTCATTGGACACCTATGGGTCAGCGGGAGTAGGGCTGTCTCCATCTTTACCTGAATCTTGCAAAGAAAGTGGATGAAGTACGGGACTTAGGCAGCCTTTGGCAGAATGTTCTCATTGCTAAGTAACACGCAGAAGGTGTTGACAAACTGGGGTAATTAGGAAATTTGAGCCAGTTGTGGCTGTTTGTTTAGCTACTCTTGTCTCAGATTTCCATTCCAATGATGTGCTAGAAACTGTCCTTTTTCTGATGGATTTCAACATGGGCTTTAAATTCTCCAAACAAAACTCACCTCAGTGGGTTGTTGTAAGGAGAAATGCAATGTCCAAATGATTGTATTTTTGTCTATCAACTTATTATATTTCCTAAGAACACTAGGAAATGCAGGAAGTTGAAATCTACACACGCAGACAAAGGAGGACTTCGCAGCTTTAACATCAAGCAGCAAACTTGGCTGTTTCCTGCCGGTCAGAGTCAAACCCGAAGTGATTGGGTCTAGGATTCTGGTTTTCACAGAGTGGAGAGAGGAGAACACAGATTCCCCGGGGAAATGGAGACTTTCCTAGGACCAAGATTTGGCGTAGGTTTCTCTGGAAGACTGAGAAGGACACAGGTCATGGAGTGATCGCAGCCTGTCTCTCACTGAATTCCACAGTACTCCAGAGGTAGCTTTACTGCTACTCCGAAGCAGAATGCCACAACGTGGTCCATGGAAACAAAACCAAAGAGGGGCCAAGACGTTGTAGACCACTGGCACATGTTTCTGGAGCTGCAGCGAACACAGGATGAACCTAACCCTCAAGTAAGAACGTGGATGGCACGCGCACCTTTCCATAATCCTCTGTGGAAGACGTTTCTGTCAGTGGCACTCACCAGGGCGTGGATGTGGCTTTTCCCCGAGCTCCATGTTGGAAGCCTGGTCTTCACTC